TTGTGTTGATCCATACACTTTTCAATAAATTATAGCATTATAAAGTTAAAAATGTAAAAATTAAATCAAGAATTTTCACACAAAAATAGCATTTGGTAGCCATTTTCATCACGAAGACAAATCCAGAGGTCAAAATTTTTTTTCAAATTAAAGTATATTACATTAGCTTTATTTTAAGATATATATATATAAGTGTCAGACCTTCCGGAACATTTTTAAAAGTTAAGTTGAAAAATTTAATTTTTTGTGAAAAAGTTGTCATATTAAATGACAAGGGGGGGCTGTGGGTAGATAAAATGTTAGATTTATAAAAAAAATATATGCCAAATGATAGGTATAGACATCAAGCATCTATAAAAAAAAAAAATTTAATGATCCATACATTTCCCGAAAAGTTATAGCATTATTAAGTTAAAAATATAAAAAAGAATTATTTTACAATAATCGTAATTTTTTATTAATTTTGATGTCTATTTTCACCACGAAGACAAGTCCAGAGGTCAAATTTTCTTTTCCATAATAAAGTATATTACATTACCTTTAATTTAAAATATATATATAAAAGTGTCAGACCTTCCGGAACACTTTCAAAAGTTAATTTTTTGTCAAAAAATTGTCATTATAAATAACAAACACACCAAAAATGAAATTCAAAAACAATTCTTATTACAAGTAATTTAAACAGCAATATATTTGTAATAAAAATATTTAGCTTAACTTATTTTTCATTTTTATATAAGGTAGTTAAAAAAAAACAGAAAAACGTATCCTGAGTGTTCAAAACAATAATATTTTTACTTAAAATATTATTTTAAGTATATTTTATAAAAACTTTTTGTTGTAAATTGGACAATACGTAAGTTACGAATAAAATAATAGATAAAAATCAATTTTGTAAAATAATTAAATTATTCTATTTTTTTAAATTTTACAGACTAAATAATTGTCTAATCAAGTAATATGTTATGACATATTTTAAAGAACAAGTTTAGATCTATAAATTAATATCTTAATATATTTTTGTACGATTTTTTGTTATTGAAATATAAGCAAAAAATTATAAAACTACCACATTTATCAAATTTTCAACCCTTTTGCGGCACGGGAAGGGGATGACCAATCACCACAAAACTTCACCGAAATGTTTTACTTATAATAATAAAAAACTTAAGGGGGTCTCGCAAACAAAATTTTTAACTTCAAATTTGAGGAGCACTCTAATATACATGTTTATTATGAGATATAAACATTTAAAGAATCAAATTTTTTTAAGTTAATATACATGTATAATTAAGGCCGGCTTGAAAGCGGTCCGAGCTGTGCAGTGGCACAAGGCTCCGCGGGCCGATGTCTGTTACGAAAATAAATGATCGGATATCAGATATATATATTAAAAAAACCGTATGTCGAATGAAAGATGTATATAAATACTACTTCTCATGAAAAAATTATATTGATCTATACATTTTTCAAATAGTTATAGCATAATAAAATTAAAAATGTAAAATACAAAATCGAAAATTTTCACACAAAAATAGGATTTGGTAGCCATTTTCACCGTGAAGATAAAATAAAGTCCGAAATTTTTTTTTTTTCATGATAAAGTATATTACATTAGCTTTAATTTAAGATATATATAAAAGTGTCAGACCTTCCGGAACATTTTCAAAAATCAAGTTGAAAAAATTAATTTTTTGTGAAAAATTTGTCATTTTAAATCCCCCCTGTGGGCAGTTAAAGGGTCAGATATAAAAAAAAGTATACCAAATGAATGATAATGAAATCATGCATCTACGAAAAAAAGAATTATATTGATTTGGTTATTTTTAAAAATGTTATGGCAATTTTAAGTAAAAAAATTTCGAAAATTAGCGTTTTTTAAATTTGTAATTTTTTTGGAGGTTTCCCCCATTTACGGGGAACGAGGGAAATTTTTTCAATTTTTGAGAGTAATGCCTTCGACTAGATACGATTTNGAACGAGGGAATTTTTTTCAATTTTTGAGAGTAATGTCTTCGACTAGATACGATTTGTGATCTTTTGACGTATCATTGAAAGAAATCGGTTCGGTGAGAGCTGAGAAAAAGTGGTAACAGACACGAAAAAAAAAACATATCTTAGTAAAACCAATACCTTCTCAGCTTCGCATTGAAGCTAATATTAAAAGAAAAAGTCAGAATAATTATTTTGTTGGTATTTACATTTGATTCAGTGTGTAATTCGAGGGTCATAAAATAACAATGCAAATTTTCTTATAGATTTAAAAAATCTTACCTGGTAAATTCTGTGGATATTATAATATCCTTAGTGATGACACTGGTAAAAATGATAAATAAAGTTCAAATTTTTAGTTCACAAATTAACACATAAAAACTTCGACAATGACGATCACGACGTTCGCATAAAGATAAAGATTGGAGACTTTGAATTATTGTAATAAAATTTTTAGAAAATACTCTAATACTTTTATACTTTAAAGACTNAATAAAATTTTCAGAAAATACTCTAATACTTTTATACTTTGAAGACCAACGTGTTTCACAAAATAGTGGTATGTTAGGTATTAGTTTTCTTCGAAGTGTACTTTCACGATAAAATTTAATAATTTCTTTAATTGTGCCTGTAGTATTACGAATAACCATAATTTTGTTTAAGTCATTAATAACTAAATTTAATCGATGACTAGCACAATGAAAAAATAAAGCTTTGGCATATCGGTCCCTAATTAGTTTAGCAACACCACTTTCTTTTCCAGCCATTGTAGCACAGCCATAATAACCTTGTCCACAAAGTTTAGTTAAATCAAGACCACAATTCACCATAAATGATAATATTTGAGTAGCAACCGATTCTGAATCTAATTTATTTAAGGGTAAGAAGCCTAGAAATTCTTCTCGTATTTTAAAAGGATTTTACTGTTTGTCTAAAAATCTAATTACAATTGTCAATTGTTCAACACCAGAAATATCTGCTGTTTCATTGGCAATGATAGAAAACGCATTTGCGTCACTGGCTTCACACACTATGTTTTCATTTAATATTTTANGCTTCACACACTATGTTTTCTTTTAATATTTTACTACACAATGTTATTAGTTCATTTTGTGTTCTATGAGATGAATATTTAGCATTTCCTGCACAGCTTAAAAAATGATTTTTTAACATCTAATCGCCTGAATCAACACGAAAATGTAGAAGATCATGAAAATTACCTTAATCTGTTTTTTCCCTCGCAAAGCAATGTCATGAGTTCCACAAAACACAATGGTTGATACTATGGATTTTAATTTTTTTCTGTTGGTTTCTATTTCTTTTTGTAGTCCAACATTTACTTGTTCAATCATACTAATTTTTTTATCAGAAATAATATCCATAAAATCTTTAGCTCTAGACATTGATTCAGAATGCCACTTTGAAGATATATGTATTTTAGAAAAGTTATGAAAATCCTTGTACTTAGTAAACGGTTTTATTATAAATTTACCTTGTACACCTCTGTGAATAGATGGCTTAAACGGCACACATACTCTACAAAAAGCTCCTTTCACACCCTCGACTGCTGAATAAGTTAACCATGAACTGTTTTCGTGCAACCAATTGTGCCTAAATGCATGAGTATTTCCTGGTTTCAAATCACTTTTAGAGTTATAATTAGTGTTGGGTACCCAAGGATGACGCAGAAGTTCGAATTTCAAAGAATTGTCAATATTTTCTTGAATTAAATATTTTCCATTATCTTTTTCATCCGTTATCCTATCACTAATAACATAACTTTTTGTATTTATAGCAACCGACATACTTTCAACTTCACACGATTCTGTATTATTTATTTCAATTACTGAAGTTGAGGGTTGATTATCAGAATCACAGAACTTAGGTATTTGAAAAAATTTCTGATGTGCATAATAGTATAATATTAGATAATAGACTATATAAATATAATTATGATTTATAAAAATAAAACTTACTATAAAAATACTTATAAATGTATAGTATAGAACGTACTGTATTTAGGCAGCTTTGTTTGTGTGTTTCATTGAAGGAAGCGTGCTGACAAATAAAACTAGAATAGTCGATCGTCACTCGTCGTTCCATTATGGAATTTCCGTACAAATTGATATAAACCTCTAAAATATACTAGACAATAGCCGATAGCCATCGGTCGACAATAATGTAACGGCATATGACGATAAAACCCATTAAATCAATAAAAATAAATACATATAGAAATCCGGTTGGATTTTTTTGTTTTATATATAAAATTTTCAGATTATACAAATTTAAATCAGATTGGTTATAATTTTTAAAAATTTATTTCCAAAGTCCAGGGGGGGGCAAACGCCCCCTCTCCCCCCCCCCCCTGCGGCGCTCATTATAGTGACGATTATATTACGACAGCGGACTGCACACATAAACACTTGCAATTCACGGCTAATGTACCATAATAAGATATCCCTACGGCAATTGATCTTTTACCATCTTCGCGATCACTACTTTGTCTGATAATTAGTTTAACTTCGCTACTCCGTATATTATAGTGTGTGCGAGTGTCGCCGTCAGCTCCCTGTTGGATTAATCATCTCTAGGTGTCCAGCACCTACTATGTCCAGCAGGTTGTATTATCTATTTAATATTTCAATTGCTTAATAAATATTTATTTATATCGTTGTTAACCTAAAGTGTTATATATATATATTGTAGTGCGACCCTTGGTAGTTCCTCTAAGGGAATATAAATTAAATAGGAAACTTCAGTACCTAAGGTAGATATAGCCTAGCTAGCTATCCCCCGTTGGTCTCTTAGAATACTGTCGACGGGCATTTAGGCTCAAGCCCTAAATAGTGACGTAACAAAAGGCAAACAGGAAACTGAAAAAAGATGAGTACTTAGTCAGTCAATGAAATGCAATAAACAAATTTTTAAAAATAGAAAACACTGGAACATTAATTTGTGAAAATTCATAGAATAAAAGTTGTTGTCCAGAATTATTAGAAAGAAACATGTCTGATTTTGAAAATGTCGAGGATGAAACATTGACAGATATTCAAAATAAGTCTATTGAAATGGAGCACGACAATCCAATTTTCATTGAATCGATTGAAAATGTAGTTTTAAATAAAAAATACTGTAAGTAAGGTAATATTGAGGATCTAGACTTCACACCTCATTACCTCGTCATCCGCCGTTATGGACGGGAATAAGGAGGAAGGGGAGACGTGATCTCTTGACAGTGGGAGAAGAGGCTTGGTCAAGGCCAGACAATGGGCGTGGCATTATTATGGTGGGGGTAAGGGTAAGGGAAAATTTTGTACGTACATATATGTGACCGCTGGTGAAACCTCTACAAGATATAGCTAATCAAAACAGTGTCGAAGTAGAAGAGAGCAAAAGCATAGAAAGTCATTATTTCGTCATTTTGAAAATGCCCACCAAATGAATATTTATATTGGAACGATCCTAATATGGATTAGAACTTTTACACGCTGCAAGAAGTACTGTAAATACAGGTGTGGTAAACGAAATACTGTCAGTAAAAGAAGAGTTACAAAAACTAGATGTAATATCATGAGTAAAGTGGCAAATAAATTACAGAGACCAGCTAAAAGAAGTGTTACATCGTACGGTAAAGATGACTTGTGGCAAGCGGATTTAGTAAATAGGAAAAAATACTCTACAAAAAATAAAAATTTTACATTTTGTTAGTGGGTAAGTGTTAAATGAATAGTCGACACAAGATTAAGTTTCTAAATGGCGTGAGCCGTAGTTTATTGTAAAAGTTACAACAAAAGAAGAAAACCAAAAGAAAAAAACAAATTATTGAAAATGATAAAACTAGGTAGTATGGTTCACAGTAATAAGATGATTTAAAAGAAAACACTAGAAAATATGTGTATTCGTAGTGAAAGTATTAAGAGCACAAAAACAAACGAAGGCCGAAAACGGAATCGCACATAAAGGTGTCACGGAGATAACTGACTGGACGTATTATTGCGGCGGGGTATGCGACGCTAGGCATTTGTTGGACTTTACACCACGGCGATAACGCGTGTGTGTGACGGTCCGGTTTACAGTTAAGCGGTGGCTGAGAAGGAGCTGACACGACCGCGGGGTGTCAACGTGTGACAACGCCGTGGCCGTGTCAATTTATTTTAACGATAATCGATGTTTATACAAAATAAGCATAAGCTGTGCTTTTAAAAAATAAATCGAGTACAAAAGACAAGTCAGCTTTTGAAAAATTCTTGTTCAATGGATCTCCAAAGAACTTACAAACAGACCGTGGTTTAGAAATTTTTCAAGCTTTTTGCCTGACCTTGACCCCCTTTCACCGCCCATACCGTCGGTTGGTGAGGGGTGTGGTAAAGGGTTGTAGAATCCCATTACGTCGCAAAAATGCAGTCGACATTGGTTGTATGTAAAATAAGAGAGTGGCGTCGAGCCGTTTATTGATTTTAAATAACACGGGAAACAAACAGAATACGCACAAAATACTTAAACTAAATTGATTGAAACTAACAACAAAATGCAAATGATGAGTTGCCGAAGTAACGATTCAAACTTTTCGGTATTCGGGAAGACGTTCATGTATCGGTATCACGATGATGACTTGCTGCCGTGGTGTCACGGAGATGACTGCTTACACGTATTATTGCGGCGAGTATTCGACGCTAGGCATTTATTGAACTTTACACCACGACGATAACGCGTGTGTGTAACGGTCCAGTTTACAGTGGAGCGGTGGTTGTGAAGGAGCTGACACGACCGCGGGGTGACAACGTCATGGTCGTGTAAAATACCCCCTCGCCAAGCCGCCGTTACAGTCTAAAGGCCGATTGAGATAGCACACATGGCGTTCGGTACTTTAGTCAAATATATTAATGATGCATAACGCAATAACAAGCCGCAATACTTACGTCGTGTGTTTGATGGGGTGGGTAATCATTATCCGCGGAGTGTTCGTGAAAGGGAGTGGGTGGGGATCTAGTCTCCACGCATATCGCGCTTGGAATGTGGGAGTTCTTACTCGGTCAGGAGTTCCGGCTGTGCTGGGGTAGTGGGACAGGAGAGGAACAGGTCCATCTCCTGTACCAGGCCATCATCCTTCAGTTCCATCGGGGTCTCCAGGCTACTCCTCCTGCGCGGTGGTGGCTGGTGCCGTCACAGGTGCTGGAACCACTAGTACACTGTTCTAAAGATGGTGAATGGAGTCCACTAGGCTGTTTCTGTCGCTACTGCTGCTGTTGTTGTTGTTGGCAGTGTTGCGGTCGTGGTTGTAGTTGGTGTAAGGTGGAAAGGTTCCCCCCAACGTCGAAGCATGTACTCCCAGTATTTCTTTGTCCGGCGTTCCCGCTCGGACGGAGAGTAATAACGCGGAGTCTTGCTGGTCGATGGGGTCGTCGTCTTGCACTGCCCTTGGCGTAAGGATGCTTGGGAAGGCGTGGCGTTGATGGGGTGCTCTCTGACATCATATACATTTGTATAGTTGGGACAAGTATTGATGATATCTGACAGTGATTCAAATTACTATCATAAGAAAAGCTTCGATGCAAATCTGTAGATAATGTTTAATTTATAAAAAATGGTGGATTATTCCAAAAGCAATATGGTCTCCTATTTCCTTATTTATATCCTTATTACAAGATTTATCACAATTTTTAGCATACTAAGGCATATAACCGAACGTATTATTGAAGTTTATTATTAAATAGTTTTAGTTAAATCATAAAACTGAAAGAAATGATATCTTGGGTCATAACATAATTAAGTAGATTGCATTAATACATTAATTATAGTGAGAAATATTTTATATTCAATTAATATTATCACAGTCAAATTACACAAAATTAAATATTTGATATAAACAGTTTACATTTTTAGTTGCTATTGTTAACTACATTAGTTAATATAAATAATTAATATCTGCTATCTATAATAGATATGATTAAAAAACCACAATCAGAACTAATTGGAGCTTTAAGTGTAGAATCAGAATTAATAAGTTTTACTGTGTTTTCAACGAACACCGGGCGGGAAGTTGCATTATCGTCTAAACGACTATTGTTAATTACTGACCAGGAATGGACGACGTCACAAGATAAAACATTCGAAAATTATCCCAACATAACCAAACATGCAGATCAACTAATGACAAAAAAATTGCTTCCTGGTTGGGTTGAGCAAGATCCCTGCCAGATTTGGACAGCAATTAACGAAGTTGTGTCAAATGTTGCCCATGAGATGTGCCGCAGTGGACTACCAGCTACATATATTAAGTCTTTAGGTATAACTAATGAAACAAGCACGGTATTGGCATGGAATATTGATACAGGGCAAACACTGAGCAATGCAATTCATTGGACAGACTCTAGGGCAGTTGACGGACCAATTGGAGTATTTGAATGGCTTTTAAACCATTCGGAGTTAGTCAAGTGTGCCAAAGACAAATGCCGATTTGGCACATTAGATACGTGGATACTATGGAAACTAACGGCTGGTGAAGTATACGTAACAGAATTGACTAATGCCTCTCAAACGGGTCTATTGGCATTGCCTGAACTCGAATGGAATAAGTTTACATGCCAGGCTCGAGGTATTCCACTTGTTTCATTACCGGTTATTCGTAAACCCGCGCATAATACACTATATGCTGTCGTGGCCGTTGGTGATCTTCAAGGTTTATCCATTTATTCTGTGATGGGTCGCCCCAATGCATCTATGTATGGATACAGTTGTGATTCTGTGGGTCAAGTTAGTGTTACATTAGATGAAAGAATTATTACAGTGATGACTGTTATTGGTGAATGTCCTGTAACTTTCTTGTCTGGACTATGCCCAGTAGTTGCTTACATTTTGCCCAATAGTACAAATAAGACAAGTGTACTCTATGCCCTACGAATTTCGTTCAAGTCCAATGAAGCTATCGCTTGGATAAAAGGAAATTTAGGATTAGTTAAATCAACTGCTGAGTGCATGAACGCTTATAACACTGCTAGTCCAAGTTTACCTCTGTATATGTCAATGGGTGGAGATATATATTGTGCTCCATACAAGACCTTGAATTCAGGGGGAATATTGTGTGGCATCACATCAAATACTACTAAAGAAAATATAGTTTGTGCTGCTGTAGATTCAATGTGTTTTGGTGTAAGTGATGTGCTGAAAATGTTTTTGAAGGAAGTTGATGAGTCATTACACACTTTATTTGTTGATGGTGCTTACTCAAATTACAGTTCAATACTACAACGAATGGCTGATATTTATGGAAATCGAGTGATAAAAAACCATCGAAAAGACATGGCCATTTATGGTATAGCCATTGCAGCAGGTCAGGCAATAAACATAAACTTAATCAGTAATAGTTGTGATCCAGATGTATACGATCCTAAATCTAGCATAGAACAAAGGTCTGAATGGACTAAACAATGGAATAAATGCGTTCTACGGAGTTATGGTTGGAACAGAATTAATGATAAATTATGTGACCAATTTCTTGAATAATAACCAAAGCAGCTGCATCCAGTCATTTTATCATAAAATTGTGATATCAAAATTAATACGTGGCATCTAATCTGTTATAAATTTAATATTCATGTTATTCGTTATTAAATATTTTTGATATGAGCTATTTGAATGAATTTAACAAAAAATGTAGGTCTAGTAGACTTAATTTTATTATATCGCATGAAAAAGTCTATTTAGTTAATAGCGCTTTTAGTAAAGACCTAGCTGATCTTTAGCGTCTTTTCTCAAAGAGTGATCGGTTTATCATAAAACATTAATTTACTCGCAAAGTAAATACAATATTGAAAAAATTTTGATTTCTCTTTGTTGCATAATTTTCTTGATTTATCAGCTAATAACCACTTTTTGGAATCATCCCTTATAATTTATAAGAGTGTCAACTTTTTTTTTGGCAACGTACATATTTAACTAGTTTATGTAGTATTTAAATACGTAACAACTTTTTTGTTCTAACTAAGATCAATTTTTTTATTAGAAGATTCTTTTAGAATTAAATGTTTTTCTTCTGGACTGACACGGCCCGCGTCGCTTCGTTATACACGATGCCCCGCGACTCGTGCCACCTTTATCAGCCGTCGCCCTACTATGAATATTTGACTGACCAACACCGCGTGTTATACGCTACGGTGCAAAGTCCAGCAAAATCTTTGACGTTGGAAATATGCTTAGCTATGAATCTGGTAGCCAATAGTAAAATTGATATAAATTATTTATTATATACACTCTATAGATGTGCGGTAAATTAGTTTACGTCTTGTTTCATCATCATCCATTATAAGTTAGTTTAAGTGAAGATTTATTACCCCCTCCCTCTGTAGGAATTGTTGACGGACACCCCTGCTGCGTTAATATTAACCCAACCGAAGCGGTCTTGTTCACGGGCAGGTACAAGTTCACTCCTCCACAGCTCGCCGTGCTGGGGGTGGAGATCCCGCTTAAGGACTCCATGACTTATCTGGACCTTGTCATAGACAAACGTCTANACCTTATCCTCCAGTAGATGGCATCCTTTTTTTTTTTTTTTCTCCAATCGGCTTGATTGTGGACCGCCCTGGAACTACCGTTAGGTATTACATCATAATACTTTTTCAAGATGGATTTGGCGAACGCCTGGATGAGCCTCCACGCCTCCCGGCTCCCCAACAACAANACGCCTCCCGGCTCCTCAACATCAGGTCCACCATGGACCCGACTCGAAACGTGGACCCTAGTCGAGACTCCAAAGAGTCCCGTTCCTGGGCCCACGCCTCGCACCGGAAGAGGGTGTACAAAGCGCTATCAGCCTCTCCCGGGCGATCCGAACAGTGGTCGCACGTCGGCGCGGCTGCTTTACGAATACGGTGTAAGTACTCGTTAAAGCAGCCGTGGCCGGACATCACTTGGGTGAGACGATAAGTCATCTCACCGTGAGTCCGGTCCACCCACCTGTCCAGCCGATCGGGTCCTATGAGGGACCTGGTCCACTCGCCTCTCGTTTCCTCCGAGAGGCGAGTCCGCCACCGGAGCATGGTCATCCGCCTGAGCGCCAGCCGGTCCTCGGGTTCGAGGGACCGGTTGCGCTCTCGGCGGAGCTCATGCCCGGCGGCGCGTTCCTCGGCGAGCAGATCGGCGGGATACCCGCCGCCACTGCGGACACTGTCCGGATCGCCGCCCGACTTTGCACCCTGAGCAGGGCTTCACGGTTTTTGGACGAATACTCAAGAGTATCCGCCCAAACCGGGGACCCGTACAGGAGAACCGAGTGTACGACGCTGACTAAAAGTCTACGCCGCATCTCTCTCGACCCTCCCAGATTGGGCATGAGTCCCGCCAAGCAATTCATGACTTTCTGGGCCCGCTGGGCCGCACGAGTGCCTGGACATCCGAAACGCGTTCAACTCCGTGCGATGGTCACACATCCTCGGAGCGCTGGACACATTTCGGGTGCCTCCTTACCTCGGGCGGATGATCCGGTCGTACTTTAGCGATCGGGTCATCTCTTACGAGAGCGCCGCGGGCCCGAGAATCCGACCTGTTACGGGAGGCGTCCCGCAAGGGTCAGTTCTCGGGCCTTTGCTGTGGAACATCGCGTACGACGCGGTGTTCCGCGTTCCGCTACCACCGCACGTGCGTGTCGTCTGCTACGCGGACGACACGCTGGTGGTGGCGGAAGGCGCCTCGTCCGAGGAGGCTGGATCCCGGGCAAACTGCGCGCTCAGAGCAGTCTCCGCCTGGATCCAGCAGGAGGGGAGTGGACTTAGCCTCGCCCTGGACAAGACCGAAGCGGTCTTGTTCACGGGCAGGTACAAGTTCACTCCTCCACGGCTCGCCGTGCTGGGGGTGGAGATCCCGCTTAAGGACTCCATGACTTATCTGGGCCT